TGTGTCCCCCGGGGGGGGGGGGGGGGGGAGGGGAGAGGGAGAGGAGCTCCTGCTGTCTGTGCCCTACAAAATTAACATCAGTGGACATGCTCCTGGTGAGGATGTATATCATCAACAGAGGGGGTGCAGCATGGACAGGAACCATGACAGTAATTACTGCAGTGGCTATGTTGATAATTTAGGCTGACTTAATTTTGTAGTGTAGACAAGGCCTTATACTGATTTCAGTGAACAAAAGCAGTATTACACTGGCTGTACATCTGACCCAAAACCATCAATTCTATTTGAAAACTCTGATACCTGCAAGGGTTTTAGGGTTTTTTTGTTTTGGTGGTGGGTTTTTTTTTGTTTTGGTGGTTTTGCTGTGTTTAAGAAAACAGCTATGCCGGAATAACTGGCAATGGAACAAAAGTCACGGTTATGCAATGAGCTAGTGTGCTATTGAAAATATTCAAATATTGTTAGAGACAGTCTGCTAACTTTCCCTTTCCTGTGGGCATTTGCCGTAACTGCAGTCTTGGGAAAGGACCCTAACCATTTCAGGCACATATTAATATGACTCAGTTTAGATTTTAAACACTATTTTATTTTTATACCTATCTAAGAGGAAATAATGAGAGAGGTAGCCTTGTTAGTCTGATCTTGCTAAAACAAAAGGAAAAACTAGGTAGTACTTTAAAGACTAACAAGATGGTTTAATAGGTGATGATGAGCTTTCGTGGGCCAGACCCACTTCCTCAGATCATATTCTGGATCATATGATCTGAGGCAGTGGGTCTGGCCCATGAAAGCTCATCACCTATTAAACCATCTTGTTAGTCTTTAAAGTACTACCTAGTTTTTCCTTTTGTTTTAGTAAGAAGAAATAAGTTTGACAAGATAGAAAAAAATCTATCTTCATTTTATCCTAATCTTGACATTATTAACTTCCAAACCCAGACATGAAGAGATCAGTAGTATCTGTTAGAGACAAGTAGTAAGATATTTGCATGGGAAGCTTTTACTTTTCTAGTTGACAGGAACAGTGGTGGGGTGGAGTGGGAAATAACAGTGACCGAGTAACAAAGCAACTCTTGCTTGACCAGAGAGAGAGAGACTGACCATATGAGAGAAGGTAGCAGCCTGTCAGGAAGAGAAGCAATCCCTCTACCTGAAGGGAGGATTCCAAAGAGGATGGAGAGAGGCTGTTCTCAGAGGTGACAGATGACAGAATGAGGAGCAATGGTCTCAAGTTGCAGTGTGGGATGGATATTAGGAAAAACTATTTTACTAGGAGGATGGTAAAGCACTAGACTGGGTTACCTAGCAAGGTGGTGGAAGCTCCATCCTCAGAGATTAACAAAGCTCTGGCTGGAATTATTTAGTTGGGATTGCTCAGGCTTTTAGTAGGGGATTGGACTCGATGGTCTCCTGAGGTCTTCCAACCCTATGATTCTGTCAATTCCAGATGGAATCATAAGAAAGTGAAACTGTTCCAAGAACCAATTGCTCTGCCATCTGTAAATGAACATGCCAAACGCTTAATGGGCCAAATTGTCAGGCATTGAAAATCAGTGTTCTCTGATATTTTCCTGTTCACACCAGATGAGCAGCTGGCCTGATACATTAGTATTAGTGTCTGATACATTATTTGCAAATGGAAGAATTATGCTATAACTTATGTTCTTAAAGCAATATGAACCCCATGTTAATGCAAATACTAATGTGTTAGTTTTCAGAAGGGCTGAACTTTCTATATGTGTTGATTTGGAAACAACTTTGTTGTTTCTGCAAACTGGTGCACAGAGATAATTTTCATTCATTGTTTCCTGCTTTTCCTGTTATGCCTATGATTAAGGACTTGATGTAATTGATATAGTTTGACTTTTTGCTTTTTTTCATTGAAACCATTTTACCTTTTGTGGAGAGCTATTGACGTAAGTAAGACTTAAAAAACATCTGAAGGTAGCACTTGTTGAACTTTTTTCCTTTGAACTTTTACATTTTTTTATAGCCGTATCAAATTGTAGATTTCATCATTGTATAAATATAAATTGTATAAATACACCACTCACAGGCAGTTTAGGAAGCGCAGTCAATCTAACGTGAAATTGTTTTTTTTCTTGAGATTTAACTGACCCACAAGAGTCCATTTACAGCAGTGATTGGCATCCTAGGCTAGTGAGTGGGCCTCATGAGTGGCTCTCCTTCCTCTGAGGGCCACAAGGTTGTTGTAACCAAGATGGTCACCGGGGACAGGCTAGTTTTGCTAACTGCACTTGTGTACCTAGAACTTGCAGGGTTTGCTGATTTGAACTTTAGCAGCGCTTTGAATGGATGCAGAAGGAGTGCAAGGTTCTCAGTCAATGTTGCGTGTGGTCAGCACACATTTCACTTCATGTGCCCTTGCTTTACAGCATGTCACTTTAGCAATGTTGGTAGGAAAAAAACCTACCTGGATGGAAACCAGCGCAATCTAGCAACCCTGGTAAACAGAATGTCCCATGGGCCACTCAGAGAAACTCCGAGGGCTACATGCAGCCCTCAGGCTGCAGGTTGCCCACAAGTGATTTTCAGCCAGCTTGTTTTTTATGAAGCTGAATGTTCCGGAGACCCCTAATGATTTATTTCTTTCTTCAGAGAGTCTTGATTAAAAGCAAAATTCTGTTGACAATTGTAGCCTGCAGTCTCTGGGCCTGTCCCAGCAAGCCTCTGGTTCCTGCTCCTACCATAAGAGGGACAAATAACTCAACAGGGTTGAGAGGTGTGGAGGAAACTGCAATCTGTCTTTGGATTGGAAATAGGGAAGGAAAAGAATTGCCTTGTGATGCCTTGTGTTTAACCCTGCATTGGAGCCAGAAGACTTGCCATCTATTAAGGAAGCTCTATTTTATTGGGCATTAAAATAGCCAAAGTCATTTGTGTGCTTGTTTGGGTTGGGCAGGAGTTGGCTGAGGGGGAGGAGAATCTTTCATTGACTAAACACAACCTCTGTACATTACCTCCTGGACACAAGATGTAGTAAGAAAATTTCTGAGTTCCAGTGCTTTCTACACAGTAGATGTTTTGTTCTTATTATAATTCGAGTTGTATATTTTTTTTCTTACTAACATAGTATACAGTTTGTGATTCTGTACTATTGCTATAAAATAAACATTTATACATAAATATCTATTTAAACACTAAACAGTGGCACTGTATTTTATATTTAACTGGGATAACTTCTAAAAAATAGGTTTTTTTAAAGTGTTAAGAAATTTGTTTGAAAATTAGTGAGATCTTTCTGTACATTTTTTAACAAATATATTTGAATTTACACATAGATTTAAGGACTACTAGTTTGCCTGGAAATTGACAATTTCCCACATAAATTATAAAACGTGACAGTCAGTCTTGATTTGTCTTGAGCTTTAGGAGAGGTTAAGCTCAAGGCTTTTTCTGTTTATAAAGGGATTTTTAAAAACTGCTCTTGTGTGTTTAGCAGTTTTAGCACTGTTATGCATTTCTCAATCATACATGGCACCGGATTTACTGTAGGACTTTTGTAGCTATCATTCAAAAATAGAGAATTTTAGGATCATCTTTTAGAATCAAAACAGCTCTAATGAGGTCTCTTTTTTTTTTTTTTTTTTAAATACGTCTTTAGGGCCACCTCCTAACATCATCTTTTTCTAAATCTACCATCTCTGTATAGGCTCTACCATCTCTATAGGGGCCAAAACAGGATTAAGGTTATTTACTGAGAGAGGAACCCATCTTTCCAGTCTCTAGCTTGGTCTGTATATAATTCCTAGTTTCCCTTGTATTTATGTAATGATTCTCTTTTGTGCTTCCTGGGATTTAATGGCAGGTTCCTAAATCACACAGCATATAGGCATGGTGCTCTTCAAATTAATCCTTTTTAAATCACCACTTTCCTTTCATGTAAATCTATGCTGATAGGATTTTATCAGGAAAAACAAAGGAGCTGCTAGTACTGCTAGAACTTGTCTTATGTGTGATGCTGGAAAATGTAATGTAATCAATATCTCACTGGTATAGTGCTTGAGGCTAAAATATTACTTTGCGCTTTACATGGAATAAATTTGGTAGCCTTTAAGAACAAAGTTTGAAAAATGGTTTTTGAAATCCAGAGGGATTACTGCACTCTACTTCAGTTCCCTTTTGATTAAATGATAACCTGTCTTTGTTTTGTTTTTGTTTTTTTTCTCACTGTAGTTATGGAAGCAGGGACATCATTAAACCTGTCTTACCAAAGGAACACTTGGGTGTCACCAAATCTTACAGCTAGTCAAATTATGACTCAGTCTGTATCTTAGGGAGTGAAATATTTTTAGTACATGTAATACAAGTGGGAGAATAAGGTTGCAAGAGAATCTTTGCTACTCCATTGCTTCACTTATGAGCACAGTACAGGCAGTCCCTGGGTTACGTACAAGATAGGGACTGTAGGTTTGTTCTTAAGTTGAATCTGTATGTAAGTCGGAACTGGCGTCCAGATTCAGCCGCTGCTGAAACTGACCGCCAGCTCTGACTTACATACAGATTCAACTTAAGAACCCCAAGCTTCCCCAAGTCAGCTGCTGCTGAAACTGATCAGCGCTGATTCCAGGAAGCCTGGGGCAGAGCAACTCTGCCTCGG